TGTCATACATTGTATGATTTTGCTCACAATTGTTTAATCTCCCCAAAGCTTAGTCTTCCTACAAAATGGGAATAACGACACCTTTCATGATTGCTCTGAAGAACAAGTGTAATGATGCTTGAAAGTGCTTAGTACAATGCCGAACATTTAGTAAGTGCTCAATAAATAAGAGTCAATTTTATTATTGATTTGCAACAAGATTTAGTCCAATCTGTACCTTCTCAGAAAGGCAGCAATAGAAGAAGAGCGGTGTCTGAGCCTCTTACCTGAGTATGAATCTTGGACCTGCCTCCTGCTGGTTGTGTGATCTTGGAAATGTTATTTCCAATAATGCCTCATTATTACTCCCATTTTACAGATGAATATCCTGTACCTAACTCATGGAGTCACTGAGGGGAATGGATGAGTCAATACATGATAAGTGCTTAGTACAGTGCTGGGCACAGCATATGTGATAGACAGTAGCTGCCATCAATATATTTCTTCCTATACTTACTGGCCTTGAAATCTTTCTGATTTTGGAGAGATCTCTACCTAAAGGCTGAGCTTGGGAGGCTCTCCCTCCTGCCGGTTTCCGTGTCAGAGCCTGCGCCTGGTAGCTGGTGCCTCCCCATCTGTACTTTCGTCCCACATTTTTGCCTCTTAAGGTTGGAGGAGCCCTTTGCTGATACTCAGAAAATACCCAATTACACATGAGAGAAATGGTCAAAAAGGAATAAGAAGACTGCTGGCAATGCATTAGATATTTAAAGCAATTTTGAAAATGGAAAAAAAAAATTTAGGGGATATGAAAAAATGAGTTAATGATCTAGACAAACAGAAACGATGCTGAAAGCCCTTGAAATTAGCCCTTTTATCCCTGAAATGTGAAGGAAGTAATATAGTATCTTTCTGTTTGTCCCAAGATAAGTTATTTTATCCATTCCTTTCTTTCTGTATTTTCAACAAGTAGCCCTGAAAATTCTCCTTCTGATCTATTTACCTACTCACCCAATCCTGTCCCCATTAGTACATTCCGTGAAGCCCTTGCTACAGTCAACTGTCCAGAGCACTGCCCCCTCCCTGTCTTTTGTGTACCGTGGCCGCACTAAGCACCTGCTGACAGGCGTCCCCAGCTTCTGCCTGCCTGGGGAGCTCTGATTCTACAGGGGTGCCCACCCCTCCTCCAAGGGACTCAGAGAAGGGCGGCCCTGTGCCCAGCGCTAAAAGCGAATCCCAGTCAGCCTACGCCAACTTGGTGGTCTCATCATTCTGCCAGTGACTGATTTAGGCTCGGGCATTTGTCTTAATTCTGGCAAATGAAACATGAAGGGAAGTTTGCTGGGGAACTCTAGGAAATACATCCTTGTCCTTAAAAATAAATTCATGGGAAGAAGCAATACCTATACTGGATGTGATTATGTCTGCATTTACCATGAACTGCAGTAGCTTCCCTACAACCCTGAGGGAAAACTGGGAATAGGAGACCAGATCAAAGGTTGTAAAAAACATGTGTCCTGGGTGATGTTCTAGAACATGAGGTTAATGCTGAAGCTGCCTTACCTTGGGAATTCTTGTTATATTAGAAAATTAATTTCCTTAATATTTGAGCCATTTGAGTTGTTTGTTGTCTATTATATGTAGTTGGAACCTTCTTAAATAATATATAAAACCTTGTTTGGCTTACACAAAGACATTTCTCTAGGCCTCAGTACTGTAAGTTCTACTACCTCTGTGAAGCCTCCCCAGAAAGTCCCAGCCCAGAAAAATAACCCTCTCCTCTGACCTCCTGTATCTGCTCAGTTTGGCATCTCTTTCTCTATCTTTCCAATTTCCTGTAAATGCAAGACTCTGTGATAACTTTCTGGTATTCCACTTTCTAGGACATCACCTGGGAAACACAAATACTTTAGTGTATTATCAGTGGTACTTAGGATGGAAAGAGAACCATTTTGGCCTCCACAGTCTACACTTTGGTTTATACTCTTTTGCATGATTGGCAGTATGTTTTAATATAGAGTGTAGATTTGGGGGCTAACAAACAACTCGAAGCTCCATCACTTACTATAGATTCAGATGCAACTTGCTAACCTCTCTAAATTTCTGTTTTCTCTTATGTGAAGTACGGTTATAAATACCTTGCAACGTTATTTTGAGGATTAAATGGAGCAATGAATGTAAAATGCCCAGGACATAGTGGACCTTCAGTGACATCATATATAAGAGCTATTTATGTGTATCTATACACACAAATTTTCCTTAGTTTAATTTTGATTGCTGCAGAAGAAAACTCATGCAAAGAAGACAGTCAGCAGTGGGCAGGGGAAGAGGAGGAGAACCAGAAGTATTTAGGTATCATCTCACTAGTATTTTCATTGTACAAATGAGGAAACGGGTCCAGAAACGTTCCAAGACCCACATAAACTCTTACTGCCCTTGTGCATCTGAATGTACACAAATGAGCTTCTTGTCCCAGAACACGTGGTCCCAGATGTACGTGATAAGTCAGGTACATCTATTTCCCCACTTTGTCTTTTCTGCTTGCATTGAGTTTTGGATCAAGTGGCAAAAAGAGAGATGTTAATGTGAAATACTTTGAAGACCAGTTCAAATGAAATTGGGTAAGAGGGCAACTGCCAGAGTTATCTTCAAAAAATCACATCATCCTATCCAAGAGACACACACAACGTGAATATCAGGACTGAACTATTAACCAAAGGAAAGAGTAAGGGAGATGGGATCACCTCTCTCTAATTTTAACAAACTAGGCTAGATGTTATAACTTCAGCAATTTGATTAATCTTTTTTCTTCATCTATAAATGACGTTGCTTTCTAAATCACATTTTTTCCCATGGTATTTGTAAAACCACAATAAATAGGAGAGGAAGAGTAGAAACAAGGAAAACAAGAATGCAGAACACACTGGTCACCAGTAAGTTAACTTTAGGTAAATATCAGCATCCGCAGGACTCTTGACCTGCTGAAACTTACACTATTGCAATTTGCTCGTAAGAACACTCAGTCTTTTTTTGCAATCCAAGTTTAGGAGGATTTATAGAAGACACAATAATTAGCTTTTGGCTCACAGACCCCAAGAATGGACTAAGAGTTATCAAAGGGAAAGGGACTGGGGAGGATGGGTGGGAACGCAGGGATAAGGGGAAAAAAGGAGGCATTACAATTAGCACACATAATGTTGGAGGGGGCACGGGGAAGGCAGTATAACACAGAGACGACAAGTAGTGACTCTAGCATCTTATTACGCTGATGAACAATGACTGTAATGGGGTATGGTGTGGGGACTTGATGAATGGGGGAGTCTAGTACTCATAATGCTGCTCATATATTTATATATTAATGATACCAAAAAAATTTAGCTTTTGGTTGTATTAATTTGTCCATATATTTAGCACAGCAGGTGTCCCTAGGTGAGGATCCTGAATATGTTTCCAAATTCGGAAGCCATGACACAAACATTGTGTCCCAAAGCCAGTTGTTGCTAGAGTGGGAAAGGGAAGGAAAACCCAAGTGGGTCTTGGGTCTCCAGAGCACGTGCAGAGGAGTCTTGGCAGTTGATGCACCTGCTTGCAAGGGAAAGGGAATAGCTATAGCTGCTTCACGAGGGAGTCCTGATAAATGATGATGTGATGAGCTAAGTACAAGATGAAATGAGATTGTATTTATACTTAATTTGAGAAATCAGTTCTGGAAGTCTACCACTGATCTTGCCAGTTTTCATCTTCCTTACTTCCAACCACACATAGCCCAGGAATATGAGAAAGGCAATGAGTATTCATATAATTTAACCAGTTTTCCCCATATTCTTTCTTGTCTTAATTCTCCATACTCTGTTAGTTGACAAAAGAGCCCCCCTCCACCACACACACACAGGGCAAAGAGAGGCTGAAGGAAGAGGCAGACCACTTCAGATTGGTAGGTGGCAGGTTTAATCACCAAGGGAACTTGGAAGGCTTGTCCGGTGGCTGCCAGGTGAGTAGATTTCCTCACCCATGAGCCAGCATCGTGAAAGTTTATACAGAGACCTTTACTGGGTTCAGTCATTCATACCAACCATCCATATGGTGTCAGCAGCACATTGCTCTCTCAAGGCTGTGTCCTTGACAACAGCTCCACGGTGTGAGGAATGGCTGTGGGAGGGGACATTCCAGCACAGGGCACAGGGCAGGGGGCGGGGAGCCCCTGATTGCCTAGGACCAGTTCTCAGGGCAGCTAACTGGGGGTCTCCTTCTCTCAATCACCTCCTCCAACAGACCAACATCTTTACTGATGATTCTTCTATTATCTAACTTCTTCAAAATGTAATTTTTTCATTTTAAACTCAATCATTAAATTCTTTTATTTATTTCACTTTTTTCTTTCTTCCTTTCTTAGGTAGTAAAGATCTTCAACTACGTAATTACAATGAGAATTTCTCATTTATGACACATTTATGGGCAAGCAATTAGAGCAATCTGAGTGTCTGTCACAGGGGAAACAGAATACATATGGGGAATGCCACCAGCATTGACTAGATGTCTGTGGGCCACCATGCATAGAGATCAAAGACAGTGCTAAGAAATAAGAAACAATGAATTCTAGAGCACAATAGCATCCAAGTTAATTAAGGCACACTGGAAGGTACATACTTTCTAAGGAAATATATAAATTAAATGATATATGTCAAATATTAAAATGGACTCATTTGATGGAAAGGCATTGGTAGTGGAGAAAGGGAGAAAAGAAATAAATTGCTATAAAAATCAAGAGAAGATATTTGCATGTATTAGTGATGGTAATGTACTATATGGGAAAATAATGTTATGAGTATAAATTAACTCTGCACTTGAGGTTCCAAATAAATATAATTAAATAGCAAAAGAGGGGATTATCTATAGTGGGAGAGTTGAGAGATATTTTTGATTGGGCTCGTATGAATCAGATGCTCTTTCCATAAAAAGGCAGTCTTGATGTGTCCCAGGAATTGCTCTGTATAAAGGCAGACACACGGCAGCGCTTTGGGATGCTGACGTTTGATTTATTTGGTGAACTGACGGTGAATGTGGACATGATCATCACGCGCGCAGGGACAGCTGCTGAGATCCATGCGGTGCACATCACTGTAGGTAGGTAAATGCTTCGAGGGCAGTTTTTTAGCATTCTGTTATAAATAATGACACTGTAAATTTGTATAACATTTTATATTATTCAAAGCTCCTCTGTTTACAATTCCATATGATTCTCCTAGAGGAAGATAAGTAAGATGATATACATTTCACAGCTCTGTACTCTGAAACACAATGGAGCTGCTCAGTTACTCTCCCAAGGTCACACAAATTAATAGAGGGGCTGGACTGGAAGCTGTGTCTCCAAAGAAACTGGTGTGCTTCTTCCTCCTGTGAGGGTGTGTGGCTGATGGGGCCATACTCCTTTCTGCCTTGATTTCTAGGAAGCTTAGAGCCAGATTTGAAACTTCTGGGAGAATTATATCCGCTCTTATCTGCATATTTGTGATTTCTTCTCCTTGATCTTGACATTTTGTCCCTATTTTTTCCTGTTTATATTTCTTCACTCCTACTTTTATCTTACATTTACTTCATTTTATTGACTACATTAAATCATTTGTAAAAGAGGTAGGAGTATAAATAAATGCATACATGTAAATAGCTGGTTAACCACACAGCACTAAAATAAAGCATATTTTCCTGGAAAGATCAAATAGCTAGCTCTAAGGAGGCTGGCTGGCTACATTTAGAAAATCCTATGTTTGGATTATATACAAGTTGATGAGCATTCTGAAAACTATGGTCAATAAAAGGACAATACCTATAACATTGAATAAAAAGCATGATTCTAGATTTTGAAACTGAAAAAACAAACTGACCCCAGCTAAGTATTTCCTTTTGCTTCGTGGACAGAGCCATACAATGAAGTGAGTCACTCTGGAGTGGTCTTGTTTCTGAGCATCAGCTCAGGGTGCTGGGTTTGCGGCTTATTCATTATTCAGGTTGACCCACACACTGGATCAATCATCTGTCCTCATCCTACTTATCCCACTTCATTTCCTTCATTGCCCCCCAGTTCCCATGTGGCACCTCACTTTGCTCACTGCCTTCTTTGTGCGGCCTCACTGGATCCTCCGAGGGTCCCCCTTCACTGTGTCTCCCTGGAGGTCTGGGTTATGTCACCTCCCTTGAAAAACGTGCCTTGATTTGTGTTCCTCGGTAGCCCCACAACTCAAGCAGAGGCTCCTTCTCTGTTTCATATTATAATATCATAAAATATGTAATTTGATTGCATGGTATCAAGTATAGACTAATTATATAATATTATACAATCATAACAATTAGTGGCTTATTTATTTGCCTCTCCTGCTAGATTGTGAACTCCTTAAGTCAAGACCTCTCTCGTTGCCATCCAGGCCTTCCTGGGGCCTGGCACACAGCGCTGGGCACACAGGAGCAGTCCGTTCAGTCCAGGTCACAGGTGCAGCTGGCCGAGATGACGGCCAACGACTGGCCACATGCAGAGGCTGACAGGACGTTCTGCCAGATGACAGCCACGCCTTGCTCATGTGCCCTCTCCTTTGGCCTGATCGCTACTCCTTGGGCCCCAATCACAGTTGGTCCTTGCCTTTTTCTCTGGCAAAAAGATGTGAATGTCAACATCTTTACTGTGCTAACGCTTATATCATTTTTTAGAAAATTAAAAATATATTCCATGAAATATGTTTATATGTGTATACATATGTATACATATATGTACATATGTATTATAAAATATGGCTTCTGTGTTCAGCTTCTAAGTTTCCAAATTGAACTTAGGCTGGACTTTGTTTTCAATTAGCAATAATCAAGCCTCAGATAAACCTCATTGGCCATGATACTTCTGCTGCACAAAGGACTTTGAAGTTTCACTCTCATAATCTGAAATAAATTTGAACCATTCATAGAAAATCTAGAGCTAAAAACTTTTTTTATTGATAATATTATGCATTCAGGAATTCCTCCGTTATGCAAGCTTTTATCAAATCCAGGAGTGGGATAACTGCTAGGGATACAAAAATAATTAAGACAGTGCCTATCCTGAAAAAGCCAGTAGAGCCACAGCAGAGACTGAAGCCGGGGTGGGGAATAAGTACCAGATGGGAAAGACTGCAGTGTTTCGCAGTTCCCCCTTGTGATCGAGATCTTTCGCCAAAACCATCACTGATCAAGTCGTGTTTTCTGTATGTAGTTGTTTTGTCCCTAGGTGTCAGGAAAGACCCTCCCTGCGTGTCAAGTCCCACATCGGAGGGAAAGTGATTAGCACTGGGAAGCCATTTAAGACCGCATTTGAGTACAGGAAGGCTAGGAAGGAGAACTCAATGGCATTACTTATCTTCAGGCTACCTATCAAGGTCATAAAATAGAGGAGATCATCTTGAAGTGCTGAACTAGCATCACCCTATGGGGTATGTCATTTCTACAAAGGCCTGACGGCAGTAGGTACAAGACTTAAAAATAACTATGCAAAGCAGAAACAGAGGTAATAGGACAAATCCAGTTTGTATGATGATTGTAAGCCAGGAGCCCAAACCTGAAGGTCACTAGCTAAGTAGGTCAAATCCCAGGGATCACTGGGTAAGATTTGTTGTAAAGGGCTTTTACCTGATCTTGTATAATTCATCTTCTACCTCCCTAGGGCAATCACTCATGTGCACAGGTGGTATTAGTTGTTGCACACACACCTCTTTGTTCAGCAGGTAGGCAGTCAAGGATTATGAGTCAAATGATCATTGTTGCGCTGCTACTGATCTGGCTGTGGAATTGGCTGGCTTTCATAATGTTAGCAATTTCTAGAAATGTGTTTATTAGCACTTTAACAGGAGAGGAAGGTTCTTCCTATGGAGGCAAGCCATGTACACCTGGAAATTCCCACTTAAGGCAGCTATGGAGATTGTCATAGATGCTGACAGGGACAGTTAAATGTCCCAATAAGCACTGACCTCCATCTCACCAGCTTTCTAAACATTCATGTGTCGAAGGAAATGCATCCACTGCAGAAAAAACAAAAACTAGATGGAGTGCACATGACCCTTCCAAACCAGGGATCAGAGGACTTGGGATGACATTCGGTGAACTGCCGTTCCCTCCTAAAGGGGTCTTGTCTAAAAGCCTTGTAATAAGCAGTTAGTCTACTTCTGTGTCTCCTGGATGTAGGGGAACAGATCGTAAAAGAAACTGGTTACAGGTCATACCATTATCATGAGTAGACTGGAGTTTCTGGTGACAGCTGAAACAGTCAGGAATGTTTAGCCCTTTTGCAATAGATTGGAAACTGTGGGTAGAAGTGTTGTCTTTCCAAAAGAGAGAGGGAGAAAATAAAGTGAGAAGCGATAACAGTCCAAGATACACAGCCTGGTGCAGGCGAGGTGGGGGATGGGCAGACAAACATCGGATCAGCCTCTGGGAAACGCGCTCACTGGTCGAAACTTAATCCAGCGAACCGCGGAGCAGGGCTTTCAGGACGGCCTTGCCAGGTCGCGGGTCTGGGGAGCGGCACACTCAGCGTGGCCACTACAAGCAGTTTATATATATTTCCTTGGCATGCGAGTCCCCCGCCCCCACCGCCCGGTTCCTGCCCGGCTGAGTACCACAGGGTTCATATTCTTTCCCGGATGTTGCCTAAGCAACTTACATCTATATTAGGCTTTTTTTAAACGTTTTTCTTAATTTCATTGGCTGGTTTAAAACTTTTTCTGCATTTTTCTTTCCAAAGAGATGCACAGCCCTCACTTTCTTAATCTCCCTCCTCCTCCCAGCCGGAGAAACTGCCTGATACATGTTCTGACATGTAGGCTTCTTGTTAATAACCTTTTGTTTAAACATTATTTCCTCTGGAAATAAATCTCATTTAGTTTTATACCATTTCTAACAGTTCCCCCTCTTTTTATTTAAGAATTTTATTCCCAATAATTAACCTCAATTTACGCCCATTTTTTTTCAAACTTTTCTAACATGTTTTTGCTCTCTCCTTCGTAGTCTAATTATCTTCCAATAACATAAGATTGTTTTGGGTGTAAGCCACAGGTATTTGTTTATGGTTGCCTTTATAAGCCTCTGAGTCAGGCCTCTCACACGAGGGATGATAAAGCATCCAAACAGTGGTTAAAATTCCTGCGGCTGTAACAAGAGATTTAAAACAGAGGCAACCACACCTTTCCAATTTCCAAACCATCCTTCTAAACAGTCCATAAAAGGATCACTGATGCCAGAGTTCAGCGAATTCATTAGCTAAAGTGGTGAGTCCCTGTAGAGCTTTACTAATAACACCATCAGGGGCAGTATTATTTGGAATAAAAAGTACATTTTCCTCCCAACATAAGAGACTCCTGCTTTTTCTGTTAACATCATGTCCAAAGCTATCCTACTCTCTCCCGCCATCCTGCTGGTAGCATCTAATTGGCTAGCCGCTCTTCAACCTTTTTGTTGCTGGTAGACCATCAAAAGAGTGCCGATTTGAACTCAGCAGCTATTTGGTTTCTAGCTTTAAATTCTTTAGCCCTGCCCTCCAGGGACTCCCATTGAGTCAAGGTATATACATTTGAATCGAAGGATCTTTGTAATGCTCTGTGATTTCTATGAGAAATCCTTTCCCTCTGGGTGTGGAGAGAAATGCCAAGGTGAATGGAATAGCCAACTGGACTAAAGCACCAGTCTCAGTTCAGGTGGATGGCCGCAAGTTGCTCAGGTATCTCTTTCCACATCAGCACCAAACATTCGCTCAGGGAATATGTAAGCTCGAGAAGTTGCCCTTTTTAGAGGCATTCAGGACATGGGTACAAGTCAGCCAGTTCCCCACAGGAGTTGTGAAACCTTCCCCTTGCCTAGAGAGGCATGAGGTGTGATTCCTCGTCTCTATGGAAGAAGAAGGGATTGCCCTTGGGCCTGACTTCTTTAGTGCAGGAAAGAGTAAAGACAAGCTCTTGCAAGTCTCATTTCCTCAAGCATCCTTGTCCTGACAAAGGGCCAACATACAGTTCACCCCAATGGGGTCTGCATCCCAGCCGGGAGGGAATGGGACCACCTGCACCTGCGGCCATCCTGCAGCACGTGCATAACAATCACAATTGCTTCTGTTCAAAGCTAGTGCTGAAAATTTGACCCATTTACCCCCGCATTGGTGTCTCCATGACCTGTCGTGATTTCAAGAATCTTAGATCATTTACCTGTTAGAGTAACTAGTTAATACTGATCACCAGTTTGACAGTATAACCAGAAGTTCCTCCCCATTTTAGGGTTCCCTGTGATTTGCCTGTAAAATGCAGTTAGAAGGATAAAGATTAACATTTTAGGTCCTTTTTAGTTTTAGCCTCAAGGGTTGGTCAGCCACTTGGGACACCTTCCAATTCTCCATTTTTGCCCCCAGATCCCTCCATCATTTCCTTGATTTTGGTGGAACGAATCCATCCCTTTGCAGCCGTCCTCACTGTGGTTCCTGTGGTCAGGAGCACTTGGTAGGGGCCTTTCCCACTGGGCTGGACTGGGGCTCCGGGCTGAGAGCCAGGAGCGAAGAACTTGAGCAGGGGAGCCTGGGCGAGGAGCCCTTTCAGCCTGAGAGAAGAAAAGGTAGAAGACATAGCCAGCGCATATGCCCTTAGAAACTGATCTTTTGTTTCTATGGTGGGCACGTCTGATGCTCTTCCTAGGTATGGCAACCCACATAGTAATTCATAAGGGAAAAGTCCGAAATCCTTTTGGGGAGCAGTTCTAATCCTTAGGAGTGCTATAGGAAGACATTTAGTCCAAGGCAAGACCTTTACTCTCTTCAAGGGGAATTCGATATTGTCTCCTGCAAATTATTTCATGTAGTTGTTTCAAAGTTAATTATATCAGGGAAACTATAAACCTTTCCTATTTTCTTCCTTACTCTAGGGTCTATTTTCTTCCTCCTCTGAGAGGCAGGCCATTAAAACCTTTATTTGGCCTTTTTTATTCCTAGACCCAGGTGTATTAGATCTCTTCCCAAGAGATTAGTTCCTGTTTCTGGGATTTACAAGAATGATCCCTCTCTAATAGCATTTTCTAATCTGATTACAGTCCTTTGAACCCAGAAACTAAAAGATTTTTGGGTCCTGAGTCTCTACAAAAATGTGGTTGGGGTCTCTTCCTTCTCCTGTTGGACTTTGAATGCCTTAGTAACATTTTGAGATGTAGGGGCCAATTATCTGATTCCCTTTACAATTAGCCCTCAAAGATCCTGCATTGTAGTTCTATCCCTTGGGTCATTATTATCCGACCCAGGTCTACATTTGGGAACTTCTGTTGGCCGGACACCCTGGCCCTGGGGGGTGTTTTCGTAGGGAGGCAAAGGCCCCCGGAAAGTGCCCTTGGTAACCAGCAGGGGGCATAGGCCCTTTCCTCTGGTGAACTGGAGGCTTTATCACTCACATAAAGAACTTAAATCTGGCGAAGCCAGTTTTCATCTGACCCAAACTTCAGCCAGAAAACTGACAGTTTACCGATCAGTTCTTTAATCTGGACAAAAAGAGCAAAATTTGATTATCTTCTCTGTCCTGAACACTGGTACAGGAGGCGTCCCCCCAGTACTTAACCTTCACCCCAGCAGGCTGTCTGGGG